GGCGGGGACGGCGGTAGCCCCGGGCGGCTCGGCCCTGTGAGGCGGGGCGGACTCCGCCCCCGCGGTCACAAGACCCGAGTCACGTGGACGGCGCGGGGCGGGGCCGCCAGGCGTCTTAAAGGGGCCGCGACTGCCCCGGCCCCTTCCTCCCAGAGCAGAGGCTGCGGGCTCTAAGGTCTGATAGTGTCGTGACCTTTACGGTCCGCACTACGGCCCCCGCTCCGCGCCGCCGGCGGAGACCCGGCCGAGCCCCTCGGGATGCTAGGCGTGACCCTCCTCGCCGAGGCCTGCCCTGCGCCCAGCTGCGCGCATTCCTTTTTTTTTTTTCCAGGAGTAATTGGGTCGTGTACGGGGTTGTAAACTGGATGTGTGCTGGAGGATCGCAAATTCGAGCCAGCCTGGTAGCTTGGTGATTCAGCGAGACCCTGCCCCAGAATTATTTTTAAAAAAAATTTTTAATGCTGGAGATGTAGCTCAGTGCTAAAGCCCCGGGTTAAATCCCAAGTAAAAAGAAAAAAGAGGCTGTTCGAGGCCAAGGGCTTCTGGTGGAGCAGAGGTCCTGGCTGTCTCTCCAGAGGCTACATCCCGAGGGTGAGCAGCAGGCTGTCCGCGGGAACCTAGGTGCAGCCTGGAGCCTCCTAACAGGAGACGTGGGCGCGGGTCGGGCTTCCGGTCACCGAGGACCCGCATGCTCCCCCGCCTTGCTGACCGCAGGGGAACAGGTGAACTCCTCTCCTGCACTGCACTTGTTTGGCAGATTGCCTTCTTGAGTAACTTTCCCATGGTCACATGCCTGCCAATACAAACGCAAAGAGCTACAGCTTCTGCCTCGCTATGTTTCAATAATTGATTTTATCCCCTAGCACTGCCCACTGAAATCCAAGTTCATAGATATCTGCATGGGGCTTTTGTGATTTCCCAACACTGCTCTGAGAAATGCAGCTCACGGCCACCAAGCAGCCCTGTTTCCCTTTCAGCCCGCGTCGCCTGGTTCCACGTGCAAAGCAAGGAGGGCAAAGGCGAGGTCCAGCCGGACAGGAAGCTGGAAGCTGCAGCCTAATGGCCACGAGCGTGGGTGTCCCGGCAGGGCCAGGGCTGAAGCCTCACTTGGAGGCCAGCGGTGAGCTGGCCCCAGAGACCAGGGCAGGAGCCTTGCAGGCAGCATGAACTGCAGTCCCAGAGGCTGGCATGGGGCAGCCAGCTCCAGGCCAGGACTCTGCGTCACTTGGCGTGGCCAGAGCGCTGGAAGAGTCTCCAGGGCTCAGAGGGGAACCCAGCTATTGGGTCAGGAGAGGGTCCTGTAAAAGCCAATTGGGAACTTCGTGGCTGGCGTGTGCACAGGGGTATGCGTGCACATCAGATTAGTATATTAGAACAATGGTTTTTTTTTTTTTTTTTTTTTTTTTTGGTTTTTCTCCGGTACCGGGAACCGAACTCACGACCTTGCGCTTGCCAGGTAGGCGCTTTTGCCGCTGAGCTAAATCCCCAGCCCCTAGAACAATGGTTTTGGCAGCAGCAGGCAAAGAGGAGAAAGGAAAGACGTGAGCGTGATCAAGAGCCTGTTAAGCCTAGTGGAGAGATAAGGAGCTGAAGGCTTGTGTTTCCTGCTCAGGTGATGGCAGATACAGGTGCTTGCACCTGGCAGTAGACACAGGCACTGCCAGAAAGACCAGGCAGCCCAGATCACACAGGTGGGCTGGGGCTGAGCCCAGATCACTAGGTGGCACCTGACAAAGCTGGGTGAAGCTGTGTGCAGGTGTTTCTGCTAAGATGTCGCTGACATCTCAGCTGGGCATGGCAGCACACGCCTGTATTCCCAACGCTTGGGAGGCTGAGGCAGGAGGAGTGCCAGCCTGGGCTATGTTGTTCAAGGTCAGCCTGAACTGCATAACAAGACCCTGGATCAAAACAAACACAAAGTCAGTGACACTGTAAATAAGAACCAAAATGTATACTAGATATTGTGAAACAGGAAGAAAATGTTCAAATGGGAAGGGGAATGGGGAAGAGGGAAGAAAGGAAGGAAGGGAAAAGAAAAAAATGATGAGGAAGAAAAAAATGGAAGCAAAGCTTCTGTAAATAAGGGGAAGAAGGACTGAAGGGAGGGTAGGGGGTGGGAAAAAAGAGAATCAAATTATATCATATACAGATACAAATTCCCTATGATGAATGTGATCATTGTGTATCCCTAAAGTAGCAATAAATTTTTTTTTTTTTTAAGTTGGTGGCATCTGATGACTAAAGCAGCTCTTTGGTGCAGCATCCGTGGAGCACCTCCCCTGCGTGGGGACAAAATGGAACACACCTTGCTTGTGAGGTGGAGGGATGTTAGGACGTGGGGCGCCCCCTTGGAAGGGGACGTTTGAGCAGGGGCGGGGACGCTAGCGAGTTGGCGTGTGCAGGTGGAAGGACCCACTTGTGCTCACCCGAGGCAGATGGGAAGCACCGGGAAGAGGGGAGAAGGGACGGCCCTACATGCACCCCGGGAGTGGCCACGTGGACGTGGGGCAGCTGGAGGGCTTTTCTGGCTGCTGGTTTTTCTGGAACAGAAGGAGGCCAGCAGCTGAGACTGAGTGGAGGGGCAGAGGTATTGGGGGTGTGAGAGCCGCTGGGCCCCCAAGATGGGAGCTTGAGGCGGCCAGAGTGTCCCAAGGTGATTGCAAAGCATCGTGACCCCCTCTGGCCCAGTGCTGCATACGCTGTGCACAGGAAACAGGCGTGGGGGGCTTCCCTAGCTTTTCCAAAGTCTCCGCCCTTCAGACAGCACAGCTCTGCCTCACGCACCCCAAGACCATGCCACCACGCTGCCCCTGTGCCAGGTGCGCCAGAAAAGCCAAGCGCTGTTTGATGGTTTTAACAGAAATGCGTTCCTATCAAGATGGAATATAGTTCACTTAGAACACACCTCCTCTCAGGGCTGGGGATTTAGCTCAGCGGCACAGCACCTACCTAGCAAGCGCAAGGTTGTGAGTTCCATTCCCAGTACCGGAAAAAAAAAAAAATCAAGAACACACCTCCTATCGCTTCTCGGCCTTTTGGCTAAGGTCAAGTGTAGTGTATCTGTTCTTATCAGCACACACCTCCTGTGTGCATTTTCTCAGAGCAGAGCCAATACTCTGCTCTTTACCCACTTACATATCACACGAACATAAAAAAAAGTTGTTTCTAGCAAGGGGTGGTGGCGCACACGTGTAATCCCAGCACTCTGAGAGGTTGAGGCAGGAGGATCACAAGTTCAAACCCAGTCTGGTAAATTAGCGACTTAGCAAGACCTTGTCTCAAAATTAAAAAAAAATAATAATTTAAAAGGAGTTGGGGATATAGCTCAATGTGAAGGCCCTGAGTTCAATCCTCAGTATCACCCACCCCTCAAAAAACATTTTTTTAGAGTTTTTAATACTGCTATCTCCAAAAAGAAAAAGAGGGGCTGGGGATTTAGCTCAGCGGCAAAGCACCTGCCTGGCAAGCGCAAGGTCATGAGTTCAATTCCTGGTACTGGGGGAAAAAAAAGAAAAAGAAAAATCACACTTAAGTAAATACAATTTTGAGTGAGTGGAAAGGTTTTCTCTGGGGAGGAAGAAGGGAGAAGTCAGGCGGGGTGGGCTGGCCCCTAGCTGGGGAAAGTGCCACTGTCCCCAAGATCTTGCCAGTCACTGTGACTCTCCTCAGATGTGCCGGGGGAGGCTGAAACAGGCTCCTGCCCCTTCCCGCAAGCTTTAGACAGGAGCTGATAATACATCACGAGCCCCGCTTGGCACAGACGGGACCCGACAGCTCACGTGGTTGGGCCTGTGACCAAGAGAAGGAAGCAAATATGATTTCAAAATCCAAGGCTGCAACCAACGACTAGTGCCTTGCTTGGGGAAGGGCCTTGCCAAATATTTGCTGAATACTGGCTAAATATTTATCTTAGATAAACATGTTTAAATTTTATAGTAAGCCTGTGGTAAGCTTTGCAATTCTACTAGGCAAATATGTCTAAATATTTTATATTAAGTATGTAAATTACTATATGACACCTGGAAATGCCTGTTTTGCTGAGCTGCAGGGTAAATCTGGTTACAAGCTACACATGTGCATATTTAAATCTACAAGGGCTGATCAAAATATACAGTGAATAAGGCAGGCATGGTGACATATTCCTATAATCCCAGCACTCTGAG